TGATATTATCGGTTTCTTGTAAAATATAAATAAATTGTTCACAATTTAGACATGTAGTGAGACCCCTATTGGAAAAAGATTGTAGTGTAGTCTTGACTCAGTTGACCTTTAACTGATGGATGACACTAGTACTTATGATAAGTATTGAACGGACCATGAAATGATAATATTATAAGATTTAATGACTGTGATTATAATCCAGACCTTCAGTAATTGATGCGTACTCTTAAGTTGTAAGATAATGTAAAATGGACATATATATTCGTTACTTTTTTATTTGATTTACCAAGGGTGATTTCTATTCTACTAGGATGACATACTCGGTATTTTTGTAAGTAAGAGTGTTTATATGATCTGTTATAAATTATTTACATCCACTATGTCCTAGTGTGCTGGGTTGATGACGTCCCCGAAATAAGCCCAAGAAGGAATATTATGTCAAACCCTGCACGTCGATAATTATCTGACATAATGATTAATGAATTGAGTGGTACTAGTTTCGAAAATGAAAGAAGTCAATTTAATTTAATTGTCAGTAATTAAATTAATTGATGGACGTTATATCTTAAACATAGGGAGATAAATCGATCAATTAGATTAATATTTTTTATTCATATGGAGGTTCGAATTTATTGAATAAATTGGAGCTAATTGGGGAGAGCAATAATATTACTCTAGTGGGATGTTTTATTATTTAATTGTATTTAGGAAATTAGGAATTAATTATATTCCATATTTTAGATTCCATTAGGAGAGGAATATTCTTTCTAGAATTATACCTAGGTTTAGGATATTATGGAGTCATCTAGAAAGTAATAAAGGTTAGGTGGAATAAGACTTCTAGATGAGATGGGATATGAAGCATGATTAGGATTCTTAAGCCTAATGGGATAAGCCCATATTTAGCACATTCTTAAGGTCCTTAACGTAGCCTATAAATACACCATGTCCCAACCTCTTCTCCTACACATGTTTGGTCGATTTTAAGGTCTTTCAAGAGAGAGGAAAATCGAGCATACACATATTCAGTAGTCTGAAATCACCACCAAGATTAATCGAAGTAGGTGTTTAGGTAATATATTAGAAGACTTTTGGGTAATACTTATTCGAGCCTTTTTATTGTGAGACTCCGACGCCCTACT